CAGCTTCTATGGCTCAGTTGGTAGAGCGCATGACTAGTAATCATGAGGTCCGCGGTTCGAATCCGCGTGGAAGCATTTTTTGCTCTTTCGTCATTCCGTGACATCGTCAAGCCTCCACAGCCCGCAGAGCCAATCATACGGGGGGACTGGTGGCCGAGCGCATCACTAGTCGAGATGAAATCCTCGGGTCGAGTCCGAGTGTGAGCCTGCATCGCTAGCCTTGTAGAGGTGTAGGGGGGTTGTTGAGCCGGGGCAGTAGATAGGTAACAAGCAACTCATCTATGACTGACTGTCCGGGAAGGTTGTAAACAACCCTCGTCATATTTTTGTCTTTCTTTGCTTCACAGTATACACAGCACAGTTACTAGCAATTGGGGAAAAACAAATAAAAGTAGAGTAGGGGTAGGATATAACTAAGGAGAAACACCGAGGTCGTTGGCGGGGAAAAAGCAGGAACCTCCCCTCCCCGTGCACCCTTTTCTTTTTCACAATGACGATGACGATATTCCAGGCACTTGCATGGGTGGTTAGCAGCTAACTAGCTGGATCGTCACAGCTCTGGATCGTTTCAGATGGTGGGTGAGTATTTTCTTATTTTCTTTTTTTGTCTGCTAGTATTGTTAATTCTTCAAGTCCGAAGTGGAGGGTAGCTAGGTAAGTAGGTAGATAGATAGAGAGATGATATAGGGTGTAGTTGTCTTTTGGTGATTGATTGATTGATGGATTGACTGACTGTTAGTTAATATTAATTATATGAACCATTACTTATCCTCTCTGCTGTCTGCCTCTGCTCAGCTTTTCTCATGCCGAGCTCAACTCCCATCTCCACCGCGTCGATCCACTGCTCTCTTCTCATCGGCCTCACATATCTTTTCCTCACTCTGGTCTTTTCCGTTCTCCTCCCTCCCTCCCTTTTCTTTCCTCTTTTTCCATCCTCTGCCATCCAGGGACTTCCCGTGCGTGTTTGTTCCCACGTTTCCCTTTTCTTTCTTGCCCTGTATGCTTCAGCCTTCCTGCCCCCATCGACCCATTTTCTCCTCCTTTCCCCCCATCCGTTCCCGCCGAGAACTTCTCCGCTGACCACCAGCCCGTCCAGGTTCGCTATCGCTCGGACCAGGAGAGCTTAAGCCTTAAGCCTTGGGAGTCCGTCGGTCCCTCCACGCAGAAGTGTCTCGTTCTCGTTCTCCCTCCGTCCGCGCCTCACTTTAGCAGCGTTTCGCAAGCGCCCAACTCGTCAAGCTCTCTTCTACCTGCAGAGAACTACCAAAAGGGCCAGAAACCAGCAAAATAGAAAATCAAATACAAGATTCAGAGAAACGGAAGAGGAACAAACTAACTAACAACAACAACAACGATAATTCACCACATCTCGTCAATTGTTTAGTTTTTCCCTTTTTATTTTCCTTTAGATCCACACCTTTTTTTCCCTTTCTGATTTTCTTTTCTTTTTCCTTCTTCTTCCTCTCTTCTTCTCTGAATCTCTTTTCCACCTGTCATACTTTCTTCACTTCCAGACTTTTTATTGTCTTTGTTTTCCTTCGGGACTAATTCCCTTTCCACTCCATCATTTTTACTGCAAACTCCGGCCACCTCTCCACCTCTCAGGACCAATACAAGGACAAGGAACGGCCAAATCCTGGACAGTTAACCTTCGCCCGGTCATAAGGTCTGGACAAGACAGGCTGTTGAACCGGTGCAGGAATGGACTCGTTGATGAGGCATCTTGCGGTGGTTCTTTTAATCTAGGTTTCCCTTAATTTCTTGCCTTATTTACTTGACATTTCCTTTTACCCTTTGATTCTCTGCCTGAGGTCCTTAAACTTCCCTTCGGCTCTGCTACTTACGTCAGCACCAGTCTCGCTGGCGCTTTGACTCTTTCCTCTATCCATCAGCTTTGGCATTTGCCGTTCCCTGGTCCTTCTTCCCTCCCCCGCCAGTCCGGCCACCAGTCTTGATGATGGACATCAATTCACTCCTTTCGCCCCAGGATGCCAATTCACAGTCCGGGCGCTCAACCCCCTCCGCGGGTCCTTCCTCCGTCCCCAATAATTCCTCTTCCTCTGCCCCGACCTCTGCTCCTCATCCGAAGCCCTTGCGAAAGAGTCGCCCCGGCTCGACCAAGCAAGGCATGACTTCCTCGCCGCTTGCGCAGCATGTCTATGCCCCATCCCACCTGCCTGAACCTTCGCCGCCCGCCATAAGTCCCAAGGTCGGTCCTAGCGTGGGAGGTGGGAATGGTACTCCCCCAGCGGCTGATCTTCCTCCCCCAAGACAACCGTCTACCCCCGGCATGGACACCCTGGCCGACCTGGCATCAATGCAGCACCATCAACCGCCGCGATCCAATGCCCCTATCCTGCGCAGCACCGAGGCGTACGAGCACCAGCTGTCCCCTTCCACCATGTACCCCCACGTCAACCCAATCTCTCACAACACTCCTACCCCGCGCTCCTCCTTTGATATCGCAATGTCGGATGGTCCGCGCGAAAGCGCTCGTCGAAGCTATATGGATACCTCCTTGGTCCCCAACGCCCAGCGACAGGCGACGGAACTGTTCGCTCAGATTCAGGAAAACCCTCAGTCCTACGACGCGCATGTTCGCTTCGTTCGCCTTTTGCACGCGGGCTTCGTCAACCACGTCTACCCTCCGAATAACCCCGATATCCATGGCGACCCCCGGAAGTACGATCTGCTCAAAGACATGCGGACGGCTCGAGAGGAGATGGACAAATTGTTTGCTATGGGTGAGGATCTCTGGGCGGAGTGGATTCAGGATGAAAGCATGCTGGCACAATCGGTGGAAGAGCGCATCGCAGTGATGGAGCTCTGTCAGCGTTCGATCGAGGAGGAATACGGTAGCACCAAGCTGTGGGGCATCTACGGTGAGTGGCTCCTGTATCTCTACAACTCGGCCAACGGCGACGCCAGTCAAAGCCAGTGGACCGAGGAAGACCGCATGGTCGGTCGCGAAGTCTTTTCTTGGCAGTCCGTCCTCGACGTGTGGCAACGAGGTGCCGAATCAACACGGTGGAGAATTCACGACAGCCATCTGGTCTGGGATCGATTCCTTGACTTGCTCGTGCAAGATCTCTCCCGCAACCCATCACAGGACAAGATCAACCATGTAAGAGGGTTCTTCGACCTCCGCCTCGCGACTCCCCATGCCACCTGGGATCAAACCTTCCAGTTATTTTCCGGGTTCATCTCGACGTATTACAACGCGAACTACGAGAATATCATGGCAGAAATGGCCGGGAAATATTCTACGGCAAGCAAGGAGACGTACTCCGCCCGCGAAGATTTCGAGATCCGGTTGCGCAACGCGGCCGAGGCGGGCGACATGGGACAGGAATGGGTTGTGTTCACCGAATATCTCGAATGGGAGCTCAATCGCAACCGTCGCAAGCGGCATACAAATTTCGACCTAGTTAATGCAGTATACCAGCGCGCCGTGCTGCGCTTTCCGACCGATGCGAATATGTGGGAAGATTTCATCATGTTCCTCATCGACGAGTCCATGCACGGTAATACAAATACCACGACGATTTCCACACTCGACCGTGCAACCCGGCACTGCCCCTGCTCCGGCAGCCTCTGGTCACAGTACCTGCTCAGTTCCGAGCGGGAAGGCCAGTCGTTTTCCAAGATCGCGGATATCAAGCACAAGGCCACCAGTACGGGTCTGCTGGACGCGGGCGGTATGGAGGAAGTACTCAAAGTGCATACAGCGTGGTGTAGCTACCTTCGTCGACGGGCTTTCCTGTCCGATTCCACCGACGAAGACATTGACGTGGCGGAAGTTGGTATCCGGTCTGCTATCGAAAGCGTCCAGGAACTGGGCGAGAAGAAGTATGGCCGCAACTACCAGGGCGACCCATTGTTCCGGTTGGAGCGCATCTACATTCGTTATCTCAGCGAGAGTGGCAGTTGGGACAGCGCGCGGGAGACTTTCAAGGGTCTCGTGGGACGTCGTGGCAATAGCTACGAGTTCTGGTTGACTTACTACGAGTGGGAGCTGATCTCCTGGAGTAAGTTTGTTCAAAACGAAACTACGATTGATGCCGCCCGGCGCACTCCAAACCCCAGCTACGCCACTGCGGTGCTGAAGCAGGCGATCAAACGAACCGACCTCGATTGGCCCGAGAAGATCATGCAGACCTACATTGCGCACTGCGAGGACTACGAGGACTCGGATGAGCTGCAGCTGGCGATTTTGGAGACGCGCAAAGCGATGAGAGCCGTGACTGCCCGCCGCGAGCGCGACGCAAGGGAGCTGGCCGCGCGGCAGGCTGAACAAGCTGCCGTGGTGGAACAAGCCACCCCGCAGGCGGAAAAGCGCAAACGGGAGGAGGAGACGGGCATGAACGGACTCCCTGCCAAAAGAGCTCGTGCAGAGGAGGCCGAAGTATCGGTTCCCGTGGCCGCCGAGCCGGTCGCTCTTCGTCGTGATCGTGAGAATGCCACGATCGTCGTTAAGAATCTGCCCCATGGCATTACCGAACACAAAGTCCGGCAGTTCTTCCGCCATGTGAGTTGCCCCTTATTTAATGCGTCAAGATTGTAGTAGCTAACTGAGTTATAGTGTGGTACGATCAATAGTGCTAAATTGCTGTCCAGTGATGACGGCAAGTCCGAGACAGCCATCATCGAGTTCAACTCCAAAGATGAGGCCGTTGTGGCACAGACGCGTGATCAGAAGATCATAGATGAGCATACGATTGAGGTTCAGTTTGGATCGGGTTCTACGGTGTTTGTGACCAACTTCCCAGCGACAGCTGATGAACAATACATTCGCGACCTGTTCCGTGAGGTGACTTCCCCCCGGTGTTTCACTGATCCAAACGTTGGCTAACCGACTCTGTAGCACGGCGAGATTATCGATATCCGCTTCCCGTCCCTCAAGTATAACACGCACCGGCGATTCTGCTACGTGCAGTTCAAGACGGCCGGCGAGGCTTATAGCGCAACGCAGTTAGACGGGGCGACGGTGGGCAATGGCCTGCACCTGGTTGCCAAGATCTCGGACCCGACTCGCCGGCAGGACCGCCAGGGCCCCATGTACGAGGGACGCGAGATTCATGTGTCAAACCTCGACTGGAAGGCCAGTGAGCAGGACGTGGAGGAGTTATTCCTACGGTTTGGAACTGTGGAGCTGGTGCGCATCCCGCGCAAGGTGGACGGCGGCAGCAAGGGCTTCTGCTACGTGGTCTTCTCGTCTAAGGTAGGTGTTCCGGAGGATGCGCAAATGCGCGAGACTTTTTAAACTAATGCGTCTTGCAGGAGGAAGCCGAGGCGTCGTTAGTGATGCACGAGCAGCAGTTCCGCTCGCGCCCGCTTCATGTGAAGCTGTCCACCCCGCAAGGGGCCAAACGAAGCGCGACAACCATTTTGTCTCGCGTTGGGACGCGGTCCCCATCGGTCGAGGTCAACGGGGCCAGGCGTGAGGCGAGCGAGGAGGTGCCAAACAGTGAACGGCAAGCACGCACTCTGGGCCTGATGAATGTCCCGGACACGGTGAATGATGCGCGGATCCGAGCACTCGTCGAGCCATATGGCAAGCTGATCAAGATTGTACTGCGACCTGATCACCAGGGAGCGATTGTTGAGTTTGCGGACGTCCATGAAGCTGGCAAAGCGTCCCTGGAGTTGGAAGGGCAGGAAATTACCCCCGGACGCAAACTGCACATTGGCACGGTACCGGAGATGATGAAGCAATCGGCGGAGAAGAAGAGCAGCAACGGACCCAGCCAAGGTAGTAGCGGCAGCAGCAAGGCCAAAGACAAGCCCAGTGGGCTCTTCCCCGTCGCGAAGCCGATCAAGCGCCCGCCGCAGCCAGGCGCGCGCGGCGGCAAGCGCGGCGGGCTGGGAGTGAAACGGGCGACGGCGACGAGCACGGCGAACGGGCAGACGACGACCACGACGACCACGAAGACGACGATGACGACCGACAGCGCAGCCCCGAGCGAGGGGCAGAGCACGAAAAAGAGCAATGAAGACTTCCGAGCGATGATCCAGCGGAGTCGAGCGGGTTGAGGGAGGGCGCGGCGCACAGGATGGCATGGCGGGAACCGGCGTTACCTCTCCGCTTGCTAATGACGACTACTACTCTTACTACTACTCTTGCTAAACTTTGCTAAGATTTCGACTTGGCGTGATGTGAATTTGACCTTCTACCGGCCAGTGCTGATGTTGAGAAGTTCTTGCTGATGCGTTTGCATTTGCCGCTTTGTGTATTATCATATAGCCTTAACCCTGCCGCCGGCTGAAGTTGAATGTAGATTATTATTATCCCCTTTTATTTTAATTGCTTCCATATGAATTGTACCGTTGTAGATGTGGGTAATTTTACTGTAAGGTATTTCCGAATACCATGTCTAGATCGATAGGAATTATCCTATAGTAGGGCTATTTCGAGAATCCTGGCAGATGGGAGCAGCACGTGGACCGACCAGGTTGTGAAGGGAGCAAGTCAACCGGTCGGGGAGTTGCAGGAATTCCTCAGGAGAGAGATCAGTTGATGTTACCACTAACTAGTCTAGTTAGTAGTTAACTAACTAATGAGATATAACCATAGGTCAATGTGACCCGCAGCAACACTGATGAAGACTCAATTCCCGTAAACAAGCTCTCTGGTGACCCGGTGGATGGCCGAGCCCCTTGCTTCCGAAGTTGGCATGATTAATACCTATCTAACATAGTAAAGAGCAAAGAAGCCGGGCAGCAGCTGCAGTGCAACGTTCGGGAATCGGTTGGTAGACACACTTCGAACTTCAACAAAGCAGTCCATCCCCGCCATGAGAGGAGGGCGCTTTGACCGGAAGGATCGACGGTCACTCGGTGGTAGGAATGTTTTATTCGTCTGTTGTCCGCTGATGGCTGAGGGAATTACCGGTGGAGAATGGTGATGGACTGAAGTATCATGCCAGATGGAGGTCCCTTTCCTCGAAACATGCGAACCATGAGGACATGACCAGGTCAGTCTTGTCATACACTACTATTTCTCCCTTCCCCCCTCCTTCTCGGTCCTTTTCACGATGCTGAGGTATTTCTTATGAAGTGGGAGGTCCTCTGAGTCGAGATCAGAGATGTTTTTTCCCTTTCACTTGATGATGATGATAATGCTGAATGGACTGATTTGATGCTTTCGGGGATAAGCTCCCGAGCGCAACTGTCACTGTCACCACCTGACCAGCCCTGCTTGTTTCTGCCTTCAATCCGGCTTTTTAGACCACCTCTTTTTCTCCTCTTCTCCTCTTGATTCCCCTGGTTCTTTTCTTCTTCTTCTTCTTTCTTCTCTTTATCCCGGTCGGGATTCTCAGTGCTACCCCCCCCTATATAACCATCACCTTTATTCATTCTTTTATCTCCCTTCTTCCCCCCTTGGTTTCCCCTTTCACCGCCCCCCATCTACTCACTCGCCTGCACGGGCTCTGCTGCTTGTTGTCGTCATCGCTACTGGCCGCTCGCTTCCCCCGCCGTGATGGATTTCCATCTGGTGCCTCGAGGGGAAGACCGTAATTATACCGGGTTCCTCACCAAAACCATTGTCTATACGGCCTCGTTGATTGTATTTCTGGCCTGTAAGTCATGTGGCGCTCGTCCGATTCGCTAGCTGCATAGTTAGCAATTAGTAGCTCGAGCTCTCCTGCCATCGATGCAATTCGTGCACGCGCACACACGACACAACTAACAAGTCTCTCCACGCAGCTTTCGGTCTCACCGTAGCCTCCATCGTCGTTCCAAAATGGGTCACCTATACGGATAAAGATGTTGGTTTTGCCGTTTCCTCCAACTGCTCCCGATCAGCCACTAACAAGAATAACAACTATCCAGCCCCAATGGCGTTACACCTACGGCCTCCACCGTCGCTGCTCCCATGTAACCGGCTTATGCGAGACTTTTCCCCAGAATGACGAATGCCACGGCGACAACCGCTACTTCTGCTCCATGTGGCGCTCCGTCGGGTTTCTGATGTCGTTCGCCATCGTGTTGGAGGGAATGACCGTGGTCGCGTATTTGATTGTCTTGTCTGGGGGGAAGCGTCTGCGCGAGTCAGGGTGGAAGATAGTCAGTTTGTTGATTATTCTGTCGGCGGCGGTGCAGGCAGCTAGCATGTCGCTTGTGGTGAGTTCCCTGGTGATGATTTGATTTGATTAGTGGCATGCTAAGAAGGGTTAGGCATATCTCGTCGATAATGAAGACCGGTTCGCCAGTGGATGGGTCTTGGATGAGTCGTGGATCTTCTGCACCGTGAGTTGGTGTGTGAGTCTGTTCGTCGCCGGGGTGTTGATCCTGGCGGGTACTACGCTGCCGTCGGAGGGTGGCTATGAGTTGATCCCGGATCAGATCAACTGATTGAGCTTGAGCTCATGGAAGTAAAGGATGGATGCAACAATATAATGAGGAATATGATTTGATTGGTAATGAGTGGCGTTGGTGGATGATTGCAGTATGCTTTTCAGCCTGATGTTATTGTTATTGGTACTTGAAAAGGGTGTAGTTAGCTGGTATAGTTAACGTGATATAATTAAGAGAATATGATGATACTGTCTATTTGTCTTCCATTCCCTCAAAAAACGAATTTAAATCCAGATACTTCCCTTCTCATGCGCACTTACCCTCTCTTTCATCTACATTTTAGTTTCAGATGCTCTAGCCGAGCACTGAACGATCAAGGTAACCGTGTATAGATACCGACTACTTCTAGTTAATCATGATATATGCCCGCATTGCTCTCGCTGGCCTACTGGTATAAAAGTTCCGGATTGATGGTCTAGAACCTGTGTTGTATGAGATATAGCTGCTTTATATTATGAGTGTAGTGCACAGTGTTTGTGTAACTGTTTGCTGTTCCCTTTGCCTTTTATCAGAGTTGTGATCAGTGTTGTGTAGTGAATGCGATCAACCTTTACTCTATGGGAAAGGCGATGTAGGGCCTTTTACTCTTCATTACTACTCTGTATACACACCCTTTATAATGTACCGTTTTCTTACATTAAATCATAACAACAGTCATCAGCTGACCCAACCCAGATAGTTAGTAACTAGTAACTACATCCAGAGATAACCCCCGCCCACCGATAAGCCGATAAGTAACTCAAGTCCCTGCATATAAAAAGCCCATGCACCACTTAACACCGACCCCACCTACTATTTTCCTTCCCCCACACCAACACCAACTAACCAACATCCTCACATTTCATATCCCACTTCACTCACACACACTCACCTCACCATTTAACCACCAAACTCACCACCACAACCACAACCATGCCCGGCCTCACCCCCGACCAACTCTCCACCTTCAACACCACCGGCTACCTCATAATCCCGGACTACCTCACCCCCGCCGAAATCTCCGCCTGCCTCACCGAAACCAACCACCTCCTGACAACCTTCCCACTCGACACCCACCCCCTCACCCAATTCACCACCGGCGACTCCTCACCCACAGACAAACACGTCGGCGACACCTACTTCCTCGAAAGCGGGGACAAAATCCGCTTCTTCTTCGAACCCTCCGCCATCAACCCAGCCACCTCCACCCTGCTCAAGCCCAAACACCAGGCCGTGAACAAAATCGGACATAGTCTGCACACTCTCTCCGAGCCCTTTAAATCCATTACTTTGTCGCAACGGAACGCAGATATCGCCCGATCCCTGGGGTTCAAGGACCCAAGGGTGTTGCAAAGCATGGTGATTTGCAAGCAGCCCGGGATTGGAGGGGCGGTGCCCCCGCACCGCGATAGCGAGTTTCTGTACACGGATCCGCCGAGTGCCGTGGGTTGGTGGATTGCGTTGCAGGATGCCGGGAAGGGGAATGCGAGTTTGGGGATGGTGAGGGGGAGTCATAGACGGGGGGATGGCGGGGTGGGGAGGAGGTTTGTTAGGGTTTATAATGATGATGGTGAGGTGGATGGGACGGGGTTTGTGGAGAATGAGGGGGGGAGGTTTCCTAAGGGTTTGGAGGTGCAGGAGGGTGGTAATGGGGATGGGGAAGAGGAGGTCGAGGTGGTGGATGTCAAGGCGGGGTCGTTGGTGTTGATTCATGGTAATGTGTTGCATAAGAGTGAGAGGAATACGGGGGATAAGAGTCGGTTTGCTTATACGTTTCATGTTATTGAGGGGGCCGAGGGGTGGAAGTATGATGGGAGGAATTGGTTGCAGCCTACTGGGGAGGGGTTTTCGAGGTTGTATGCTGATCATTCTAAGTAGTTAGTATGGGTGTGTAGAAGAGGGTTAAGAAGTATGCATGTATCATCTATGTAGCCACCAAACTCCATCCAGGTATCCAATAGTAGTAACTATAGTACTATAACGGTCATGCTTTTGTTTTTGTTTTGGCCCTGCTCACGCAGCAAGCATCTCCAACATTCCCTTCGTCTGGTACGCTTGATGCGCCATCTCCACCTCGTCGCGCACTCGTCGGTGCAAGCGCTCCACCATCTTGTCGATCTGCGCCGACTGCCCCAGGTTGCCCGAGTAGATGTCCAGCACGTTCATCGCCACCTCCACGCTCAGCTGCACCAGTCGCGGCTCCGTGATGTTCTTGTGCACCCATTGCAGCACCGGCTGCAGCGTCACCTCGTCGCGGTTCTGCAGGGACGCCCGCAGCGCGGACCGATGCCGCAGCGCCGTCAATAGCGTCAATTGTGCCGTCTTGTCGTTCGACCGCAGCACCTGGTCCAGGGCTGCAGAGTACTTCGCCTTGCGCAGGTCGAGTTCCCACGGTTGCTCCTTCTTCCGCTTCTTGAGGTCCCGCCCCTCGATCACAATGTCCACGCCCTCGCCGACAAAGTCCTGTCCGCGCAGGCGCTTCTCCCACCCGGATCCGCGCTGCTTCTTCTGCTTGGCTGCCTTCCGGTCGTGCTCCTCCAGCTTGCCCTCCAGCAGCGCCTGCATCTCCTTGCGACGCTCGCGCTCGCGGATCTTCTGCTGTCCGGACAGCCGGGTCTTGATCGACAGAAGACCGGACTGCATACCGACGGCAATGTGCTTGTCCTCCTGGGCGATGCCCGATGTGATCGCGCGCAGTGAGAGAATGGGCGACGGGTACTTGGAGCCCGAGACCATGTTCCAGCCGGTCGTTTCGAATACCTTCATGTGGCCGTCCAGCGCACCGGAGAGCAGGCGCTCGCCGTTCGACGCCAGCGCCAGCGACGTGACGGTCTTTTGGTGGCTCTGAATCATGTGCAGGGGCTTGCCGGCCACGATATCCAGCACCGCGATCTTGTTGTCGGCCGCCGCAAGCACCGTCGTGCCCGTGGGCATGGGGAGCACCGTCTCGATCGCTGCGCCCATCTTGAATGTCATTGCGGACCGGTTTTCGACACGGGGATCCCACAGTCGCACGGTCCGGTCGTAACTACCGGAGACCACCAGGCCGGAGGAGGCTAGAGATCCCGGCATGAATGCACCGCTGCGCACGTAATCGGTATGGCCGGTGAAGACCTTCTGGCTGTTCTCGCTGGGCAAATCCCACAGGCGTACCGTCCGGTCGTCACTGGCGGTCATGACGCATGTAGGGTCGCTGGGGGAAAATTTCGTGACCCAGACGGGCTGCTTGTGGTCCTTCCATGTCTTCAAGATGGCACGGGAGCTCACGTCGAACACCTGCACCGTACCAGAGTCATCACCGACGGCGATGACTCGCCCATCGGGACGGACATCTGTGCCTCGTACCGTATCATCGAAGCGGGTGATTGTGCGGAGGAGTTTGCGAGTGCGGATGGAGTAGATCTGGACGCGGGCGCCGGTGGTCACGGTGAACACATCGGGGGGTTGGGTGAGGGAGGGGAAGGCGGAGGCAGAGGAGGGAGCGGAAGGTTGCGTGATGAGGTTGACGGGGCCATTGGCAGGCGAGGGGATGAGGAGAGGGTTCTTGAAGGTCTTCCAGTATTGTTGCTCCGGCGTCAAACGAGTCGAGGGCAGCGCCGGCAGCTTGACCTGCTGCAGAGGGAGGACGGGGGCAGCCATGGCTGCGATTGCCCAAGTTGGGATGTGTTGATGGGAAGTGGAATTAAGACTGCCGAATTGTATAAAGAGGAGAGATCAGCCAGCAGCCTGCGCTTTGGACGTTGTCGGCGTCGTCAAAGTGGTTCGGGGAAATTTTTTGGACGGAGCCTCTATCGCATCGGGAAAAGTCTATCGGCGCCCGATTAGGTTTAGCGCGAGATACGCTATAGTCCATTTGGAGTTGATCTCCATCAGCAAAGCATCCATCGGAAAGAATCTTTTGAATTTTGTCGTTTTGACATTCTTAGATCGAGTTATATTGCTATGAATTATGGCTTGAGTAGCTCTCACTCATGGATAGTGTGCTTTCTCAGGTGTCTACGATGGGTATCTCATGAGATAGTCCTCGATATTGTGAGAGATATTTTGTTAATAGTATTAGTAGATGGACAGTAGTCACTGATTCCCGATCATTATGAAGATAGAGTCCAGAGAAATGTTGTATTGAGGTCTATGTGGTTGAGTGCTGACCCCGAGAGTGACTTGTAGGATAGCATTTGACAGAAGCATTCTTAAGGACTCTTAGAAGACCGGAAACCATTTCTAAGAAGAACAATTGTCTCAATTGCAGTATAGTTATATATTAAGATATATACAGGTCAATTTATGCCATTAAATAGTCGTCAGGCTCTTCCTTCCTGCTCAGTTCTTAGTATAGATGAGTGGGTAGAACAAAAGTACCTCGCGGCTGGTCTGTCCGGGCCGTAGCTTCCCTGACACTAACAACAGCATATCTACTATCTACAACGGAGAAAGCCACACAAATGTTCATACATCAAATCCACACAAACAACACATAGTGCCCTCTCCTCTCTGCTTTTTTTTACTGCTCTTATCCCCGTATCCATCATTGGACTGCAACCAGCAAACGTCCAGACCGCATCCAAAGGCCCAGGCCCATCTCACCGCCGGACGCCAAACCACGTCATGAATCATGAGCTGAAACTACTGCAAAGCTGGTTGAAGTCAGTATCGGTGACCCTTTCAGAGAATGCGCTTACTAGAGCTCCGTTACCATTGCTGACCGGTAGCTCCTATCTAGATCCCAGTCACCGTCTGCTCCACTGGCTATGCGTGTTGACCAACACAGACCCAAACATTGGACAACTTGGACTCGAGGTCTTGAACAGCCTCAACAGCCTCATCAACGCCTTACCAAAAATGATATCCACCTCACCTCACAGTCAAGTTTGACTAGATGTGACGATGTCTCCGACCTCATGCCCTATCACCAATCAAGGCCCACTTGAGCACTGATATCTATGCTGTCACCATCAGACAATGGTAGCTTAGATTAGCCAAGGACCATTGTGGAGTGAGACATTGACCGTTTTGATTCTGATCGGGCAGGATTGGAGTTATACTTGGGTATACAGAATGGATCATGCTATGGATCACTTGTGGGGAGCTTGATCTAGGTATGTGCCTGGCCGAACTTTTCCCGTCTACAGGGCGATTGCCTGGTTCGGGGGAAATAAGCATGGAGACCATGCCAATCGCATTGCTCCATAGCAAGCTTCCAGTTGCGGCAGATTCCTACTCGAGTGGGGTTTGTCCTTGATTTCTCGTTCCCTGATTTCTCCAGGCTCTTCATCTTTTTGACTTTACACGGAAGCCCAGACACCCGCTATTGGCCAGCTTGCCAGGCACCCGGGACACCGTGGGAAGCGTCCGACCCATCCTTATTCGTGCCCGGCCGTGCAGAGCCGATCAGCCACACCCCAGCTGCCGCTGCCGATCGTCTTGTGGAATGTCACAGGCTACTAACTACACTAACCACTAACCAGTTAACCGCCTGCGTTCCACGTGGGTGCGACCTCAAGGTTAGTCTAGACCAGAAGTCAGCGGGCCCGCGAATTCAATTGACTCTCTCCGAGACGGAAGACGGAGTAGACATCTGCCAACTTCAAGGCCTGACGGGTTCCTGGTGGAACAATGGCACGACTAGAACTTTTCGAGAGCGCCTTACCAGATTGCTTCGCCCCGTCATGACATCAGCCTACGAAGCTCAATTTCGCTTGTGGTGTTTTCACGAATCAAGCCTAATTTTAGTGGCTGGGATAAGCTGAAGCCGATGCAGCGCACAGGCAGCAGAATTGTATACTATCGACACCCTGCATTGTAGGCGTATTCGACGAAGTTTGGGACTGACGTATGCAATGGCGTCGCAGAAGCTGCAGCGACAGCACAAGGGGTGGAGGCAGACTTTGTAACGGAGCTGCCGCTCCAACTAGCAGGGCGGCCGCAGCGTCGGATGATTTACTGTCCATCTCCACTGACACCGCAAGCATCACACCTCGTGCGATGGCTATGTCTGATGCGGTCAAGTACGGTCATGTTTGGTGTCATTTGAACGGTCGAAAGACGGCTATACTCATGAAGTAAAGAACGAGAAAGGGACCCGTGGCATTTCCAGGCCCTTCCAGGTACGTGTGCAGCATCTTTTGTCTTGTATACTCGTCTCAGGTTAGAAATCCGTGGCTGGAAGTTATCCTACAACTCGGCCTCCACATGGGGGCCAGATCCCTAATGTTGTCACCTTGTGACTCTTCGGATCCGCCACCAGCTCCACCAACCAATTCGAACAAAGAACGCGGGTAATCTAATGAAAGTTACAGGTATTGTTTTGTATGATTCCAAGCAGGAAGGCGCGATCGGGCCAATCAGAGCCCCACTCCCAGCCACATCACCCGCCCAACCTCCCCTTTTACGGCCGGCCCCACCCGTTTTCGCCACCCAATCAGTGCGCGCGTTGCTTATCGATAAGCCGAGATCCTCCAGCTCCCAGAACTATGCCCGTCCTCCCTCCCTTTCTCCCCTCCCTGCACTCTTTTCTGCAAAACAACTTCACGCGAAACGAACTGGTCTCTCGTTACTATTACTGCTCTACCTTGCTGCTCCACATTTGAAAAACAAAACCATCCAACCAACGCTCATCGGTCCTTCGTTACTCTCCTTCACGCTCTCTGTCAATCCACCCCTACCGAACTGCGTCTTGTCACTCCTTCATTATATTCCTCCCTAGGATAGTCTAGCAACATGATGGACGCCAGAGTCCCCAAGCGGGGCTTAATGGCAATGGCTCACACTGCTCATGCAGCGGGCATCTTTGCGGATATGTCCGTGGATGGCCCGATTATTGGCACGTTGGTCGTCGTCGCCGACCGCGCCAAAAACCTCCCAAACAGAAAAACAATGGGCAAGCAGAACCCGTACTGTGCTGCGCGCCTTGGAAAAGAAGCAAAAAAGACTGGTACAGATCTGCGAGGTGGTCAAACTCCCAAATGGTATGTATCTTGCCACCATCTGAACTTGGACGTCATATAGACGAAGCTAACTGACGTAGGGATGATGAACTTCGCTTCAACGTACACGAATCTCCAGACTACTACAGATTGAAAGTATCTGTTTTCAATGATGAGAAAAAGACCGACCTCATTGGAGAGACATGGGTCGATCTGAGTGATCTGATCATTCCGGGCGGCAGTCAAAACGACCACTGGCATCCCTTGCAATTCCGTGGAAAATACGCTGGCGAAGTCCGGCTTGAAATGACCTACTATGATACACGACCCGAAGATGAAGCGGTGATCGAAAGAAGAACGCCCGCCTCTGACAAGGTCCACCCAAGGAAGATTGCATCCTTCAGCTCAGGTCCCGCGGCGCCTAGCCCTGGTACCCTGTCTGGTCCCAGGCAGCTGAAAGATGTCAAAAGACGGCCACTCCCTTCGGATCCTCGCCCGAGATCTTCGGCGCACTCAAGCACATCGAGCAGCTCGCCGGTCCGTGCTAACGAGAGCACGAACTCGGCTCCAACCCTCCACCACCACAGTCACAGCCATCATCATCAAGATCTCAGACAGCCAAGAGTGGATAACAGCAGCTCTGGAATGAGTGATAGCACCACCTCGCTCCCTACATACAACCATAGAGAATACGCAAGCCCGCAACGACTGGAAAGTAACAGTATGGTTGTTGCCAATCCCACGGGATCCTATCAAACGAATCCCTGTCCCTATCCTATCAATCCTTCAGACAGCGGTTCGGGTGCCACACATAGCACGACTTCATTGCCAACTTATCAGAATCATGATTACTCAAGGCCTCATGTTGAGCATAACCCGCCGATGAGCGACAGCTCCAGCTTGCTTCCACTCCTTCCAAACCCTCACCGAGTTGAGTACGCTAGCCAGGCACCGCCTCACAGTAGCAGCAACTCACTCGTCGGCAATGCCACGAGCTCGTACAATACGAGTTCATGTCCGTCTTATCATGCGGAGTACACAAAAATACCAGATAGCAGTTCGTTTGCCTCGACAAACTCGAGTGCACAACAGACGGCCTACGGGCATTATCGTGAATATGCACAGATTGGATATACGCCCCCACTTCTCACTGACAGTCAGCCTTCTTCCCTGTCATACGCGATGATGCAACCCCGTGTTGAGGACGAAGAAGAAGACGGACTCCCACCCCCTCCACCCGCTCATCGCTCAGGACTGATTCCATCCAACCAACCAGTGTCAGTGGCGCCGAACCCTGCCCCTCAGGCGTACACGCAACCTCCCCCCCAGGCGTACGCACAACCAGCTCCTCTGCCGCAGGTTACCATGCCCGAGCCGATGGATAAGCCTGCTTCGGACAACAGTCTGTATACGACCCCATCGTGGGATCCCAATTGGGACTATCCCAGAGGCAGACGTGAGGAAACTGCCGTGGCCACAACAAACGCAGTGCCAGCCAGTCTGGTTCCGGGAGTTGATCCGGTGGTTGCAGCAGCCGAATCAGATCGCGCGGCGTATGAGCGAGAAATCAGACGAAGGAGCGGTAATTTCGATGAAAATCCGCTGCAAATGGTCCATCAGCCAGTTGATAACAGGAGACATTCTCGTGGTCCCTATGACGAGAATCCTCTGAAGAAACCTGTCGATACTCGGTCTCTTGTGAGCCGAACTTCGACAGCTCCCAATAATCAGCTTGTCCCTAGAAGAAAATCAGTCAGCCCCCGACCCCCATCGATGAGGGGCCGAGAGGTGTCTCCTGTTCCGTTTTCTCCCGATTCCTATCTGCCTGAAGCGGCGCGAGAGCCAGCAGCGCGAGAGTCAGGCCCCATTATCGGGGATGATGGTCGAGAAATTGATCCTTCTGACCATCTGCCTACAAACACCTGGGCCCCAGAGCCCGAACGAAAAACCAAAAAGCCGGGAGTTGTTGTGCGTTTCCGCAGCCCCGTTCATCGAGATAGCCCACCTAAGGACTACGGACATCGCAAGTCCATGTCCGAAGCATACTCTAATTCTCCCTCGAGGCTATATGCCGAGGCAAACAACCCCCCTATACCATCTAAGGTGCCTGTCGGGCTACCAACAAAAAGTTACGGAAACATTGATCAAAGCTACGATGCTCTGAGCCGAGAGCTCAATACGATAGATATTGGAGGATCTGGTCGAGGCATGAAAAGATATGCCCTTAGTTACGTGTCTTAGATAGATACTTGTTCTTTGTTGCGTTATGGACAGCGATGTGCTGCATCTTTTTTCTCTAGATAGGATGTTTTCTTTTCTTCTTGTCTTTGGCAGGTTCAAGTGTTTGCTTTAGATAGCTTTTTTCATGTCTTTTCTTTCGGTTTAGGTAGCTTTTCATTCTTATTTCAGATAGCTAGCTATCTTTATGATACCAATGTTACTCATCAAAAGTCTTTACACAGTATCTGAAGGAAACGATATGCGAACCACACCAATAACAGTGATATCACCAGTCACTACGGAGTAGACATAACAAGTAATCAATAAACAGCCACAACATAGCTCAAAACTTAATCTCAGTCACTCTACCCCGTACAGGCAATTGAACTCCCTCTGAGCCAATACCTACGCAAACCTCGCGACAAACCTGGACGAAAGCAATTCTAGAACCCCAATGGAAGAATCGAAAGGCCAAGACCCGCAACAAATGAGACAATCACGAACCAATAAGGAAAGAAGCATGATTCAGATTGACTTCATGATGAACCATTGATTGACATTGAACCCGTGCGGAGACACCCATACTTCTTCTCTTATTTGTCTGGTGGGGAGTTAGTTACTGTTATGGGGAGAAGGGGATGACATCACTTTGTTGCCACTGGGGGAGGTGGGGAGGTGTAGGTATAAGTATCCTTCTTCGTTCGAGGACAATACTATTGTTTAACATAATTTTGAAGAAGGTTATCACAATCTATAAGAAATATTCTGTTGTCAATTGACTAAATCTATCTGAATATTCTCTCTCGGATATCATCTACACTACCACCGATAACAACCACCACAACACCACACAACAACAAGCAAACAAAATGTCCTACCGCACCACCTCCAGCTCCTCCTCCGCCTTCTCCTCCTACTCCTCCTCCACTTCTAACGACAACAACAACAACCCCCGAACCGAATCGACCGGCCACCGCTACGCCACTACCTCACACACCGACCCCACCGGCGCTACTACCGTCCGCACCGGATACCAGAATCTAGGCGAGGAGCCGGTTTTCGAAGAGCGGAGATTCGATTCGGCGGGTCGGGAGGGCGCGTTGTTGGATACTCAGGGTGGGATGGGTGCTGCGGGGGGTACTAGGGCTATTAGGGAGTTGGATGAGGATGCTGATGAGGGGGAGTGGGAGGATGGGACTTATTGATTGAAGTCCTTCCCTGGCTTACTTGAGTGTATGTAAGCACTATGTCTGGTTTGAAGATAATGGTAATAATAATGAAATGTGATCTCATTAATAGTATGTTGAAATATTGAGTAGCAATGGTTGTATATACGTAGTGATTGTTGACTGCTGCTTTGTTGATGATTGGTTATAACTATACCGTATCCAGCTGTTTTAGCCAGGCGGGGATGTCTGGGCCGTAGTCTAGGTCTTCCGTCTAGATTGGGCATCTGGGTCGGTTGGTTAGCATGATACTTTGATTGAATGATGGGGTTGTACTTGGTAAACAAACCCATTGGTGGATGTCACAGAGAGAGAATGTTCGTAAGATGCAGGTTAGGGAGCTCAATGATGATGGGAATGGTGAAAACTGACAGAAGTATACTTAAGCTACGATGTAGTCTTAACTATTGCTAGTGCCTGCTTGCTTCTTCGGGCTGCGGAAGACGGATCGCATCTCAGTACTTTTGCGAAGAGAATGGCACTTTTGTAAAAAGATGAGAACCGAACTGTAATTTAATGAGAGTGAAAAAGTGGATAAAATAGTTAGAAATTAATTACTAGTAAGATTATGTATCATCTTGACCTATCAACAAAAGGGAGATGTTCTGGCTGAGACCGACATAAAGGCTTCTGGATTGATCGTGCCGTGAAACACCATGTCAAGTAATCTATTCCAGCCACGCCTCGATAGCAAACCGCAGGTTCTCCTGCAACCATTCCTCATCTCCTGTAGTCTCGCTTTCAAAGCCATGACCCCCTGGCCGCAGTGCCAAAACAATCTTATCCCCTCCCGGCTTCCCATTCATCACTTTCCTTGCCTTGTCCACGAAGGCTTGACTATCCTCCAGAGGCAAGATGTCATCTTCCAGGCCATGTCGGATAGAGATACCTCCACGGGGGAACTTGACGTCCGGCTCATCCAGCCGTTCCATAGGGTGCCGCAATGCCCGCCGGGGGTCTTTCTCAGTTCCACGTTCGTAGAGTTCATAGAGGCGTGCAACCTCAACAATGGCAAGCATTAAAGGCAATCGCCCAGGCGGCGTAATCGATGATTGTACTACTCCTTTTTCACTGTCTCTGATCGCTTCATCGACAACACGATTTGCCTCTTCCAGAGACAGACCGCTTAAACGAGGTGGGTCCTTCCGTACGGAAACATCCTCGACAGGAGCACTGAGAAAGCCAGGAAAGCTTGCTGTTGCAGCCCGGATCTCCTCTGGGTGCGCCAGGGCGTGACAGATGCTGAGTGTGCCCCCAGCGGATTCACCGGCAGTAATGATGCGATCCAGGTCGAGTTCTGTTGGATTAGGCTGGGATGAGAGAAGTTCCGCCGCTGCGGGCGAATGCAGCCAGATCCAGAAATCCTCAATGTCGTCGAAAAGGTCGAGGGTGGTAACCTCGGGAAGGAGGCGGTAATTCGGAGATACGATCACCGCATTGTGCTGTTTCGCGATGTCGAAGAGGTATTGGGGGAACCATTCAAAGAAGAGCGCGTCTCCGGTTAGCTACTGCAGGTTAGAATCGTACATATTGATGGTGCTTGTCTAGTGAGTGGGCCACTTACGAAACCCCCGCCATGGAAATGGATGATAACTGGCCGCTTGCCGGTGTAGTTTGACTGGGGGATGATGAGATCGGCGCGGATGTTGTGATCGCCGACTGTTTTATAGTTGGTTTGGACCAGGTCAAAGCCGGCCAATCTCTTCTGCGCCAAGGGTGACTGTATTTTTGTCATGATTTCAAGTCAAAATCTTGATTGTATGATTGAGAGGATGATGAGGTAGGTAGAGGCATCATTCTGGCAGGAAATTGGCCCAATTTATGGTCTGTTGAAGATCACATTGTTGAATGGCCATGTCGGACATCGCACGGATCAGCCGCTCTTCTGACGATATTTGTCTGGTTTGCTCTGTTTGTTGGCGGAGACCCTGACATGTGATTGGCTATCTGGTTGGCATGGGGCGTGCTTGTTTGCATGGATAACCTCCGACGCAAACACTTTACAAATCTCATTTTTGCGCTCAGATTCTCGGATTTGACAATGAGACCGGATCTGGGCATTGCTTGATTTCTACTCCGAGTCCAAAGTAAGCACTAATCTTTGAGGGTCTTGCTAATCAATAACATGACAGGTGGAATATTTCCCATATCCCTGCTACTTCTACACCAAGCAAAGGAGATAATGATCGGAGACCGGGCGCACGGGCACCCATGCCCGGCGACATCCCCTCGGGTTTGATAGTGAGACCGAAGCTGGAGTCTTACCCTACCTCGATTATCGTTCTAAGGGAAAAAAAAAGAATCTCAGTTCAAAGGGTTTTGTTTATGCCTTATCTGACAGGTTGCCTCTTGTCCAGCTCTAGTATTACTATAGGGAATAGGTACAGTATCGATTTTTAGTTGCAGGAGGATTCGACCGAGTTATTTGCTAGTAGGAAATTCGACTAACTTACCACTAAATAAACGCCCAGCAGCACCACCAAAACCAAATAATTCATGTCTTAGATGCTTTTCACACTCTTATATCTGCCAAGTCCTTCACCAGTCCTCACTATTATATATTCGCAGCTATGTGATCTCCTGCTTACCTCTGCTAACCCTAAAGCAAAGGGGATAATGATCGGAGACTGGGTGTGTGGGGATGTGGATTCCCCCACACCTGCTGACGCGGACTTAAGCGGACTTAAGTGGACACACATCTAATATTTGACATCATGAGCTGTTCTGCAACGGATATAATTGAGTTTTCCCATACACCAAAACTCGTTGTTTCCATCTTCAAACTCCCCAATCAGACAAGATGCCCTCCAGCAACTACAACTACAACAAACTCGCGGGCAAGCATGTCCTGATCTTCGGAGGCACCTCCGGCATAGGCCTGGGAGTGGCCAAACTCTCACTAGCCGCATCAGCCAGAGTCACCGTGTCTTCATCCTCGAGCAAACGCATTGAAACCACCATTCAAGATCTCAAGACAGAATTTCCAAGTGCCCAAGTCCAAGGACACGTATGCGATCTTTCCAAAGACACTGTCGAAGAAGACCTCGAGGCGCTCTTCCAAAAAACCAACCAAGTTGACCACATTGTGTTCACCGCGACGGATGCGCCAGCCATCATGCCCGTGCAGGAAATTACTCGGGAGAAGCTCATCGCTGCCGGTCAAGTGCGCTTCTTCGCGGCTGTACTCGTTGCCAAGATCGGCTCTCGATACCTCTCCCCGGGTCCCGAGTCATCAATTACCTTGACGACAGGAACCAATTGGGAACGCCCGATGGCCGGTTGGACGGCGGTAGCTGGATACTTGGGTGGTACCTGCAGTGTTGCACGTAATCTGGCGGTAGATTTGAAGCCGATACGTGTGAACGCTGTGAGTCCCGGACTGGTGAAAACTCCGCTATGGAACGATCTGATGAATGAGGAGGAGCAAGACAATTTATGCCAATTTGCTGCAGCGAAGAATCCGACGGGAAGGATTGGTCTACCGGAAGAAGTGGCAGAGGCTTATATTTATCTGATGAAGGATGTGAACGTTACTGGACGGATTGTTAGTTCGGATTCGGGTGCTTTGCTTGTGTGAGGGCATCGGTAGCATTGCCTTAGAAAATTAGAGAAACCAATTGTTTGGACATGGAGTTCCACGGCTTGCTTCGGAGTTTATTGCAGACATATCGTTTGAAGCCCGTTATACCGTTGGCTCAATAAATAGGTTGTCACGTAATGGCTTCCTGATACTAGTTTCTTGATGCCCATAAGTCCCACCTACATAATACTAAGATCAACGCGATTATAAATACAAATAAGCTAGGCCTTCATCAACACGCTCCTGATTCATCCAGCACCTGACCAGTCTCATCAGTCCCCACAACTAACTGAACAGCACGACTTTGACACAGGGCGCAGACACGCCAAATCCAAGACCAAAAAGAAAAGCCAACCGTCCAATAATCACCAACGAGCTGTAAGCGAGAAGGGAACTGTAGTACAAATTAGGCACACATGGTCGATTTGACCCTTATATACTACCCGAGATTACATTCCAGACTAGGAGCCGCTGCCTCATTGATGTCATATCTAGACACGACCCTGATTGAATTGGGGTTATTCACGTCCACATGCACATTACCTCATTATCCGAACGGCTGTGTCACTCTTGGGTGGTGTTTCAGTTCTTGGGTTCTCTGTTGTGCGCGTATATACCCCTACACTGCCCCGTCCGTCATGATAGCCGGGTTTGCGATTGAACTTGTATATTCCTTCGTATATGCCTAACGTCATGCATATACGAGTTGGTCAATTGACCAAGTACTGAGAACTAGGCAGATACATGACTGGAACCGAGCCAGAACCGAACATGGACTATCATAAGGGACGAATAACATATATATACGACCATAATCTAGTTCCATATCATCAGCTACAACTCAGACCAGGGAATCTTCAAGCAGACACCAGATAATAAAAACTACTTACCACCTTATCACAATTACTGCCTACTATCTACTTCCAAAATGAACCTTCTCATCACTCTCAGCACCCTCCCCCTCCTCATCCCCCTCACCCTCGCCCACCCAACCAACCCCCTATCCGCCGCCCTGGACATCGCCCACGACGCCACCCAATCCGCCGCAAATATCATCTCCTCTACCCCCAATATCATCACCTCCTCTGCGCCCTACGACCTGGTCTCCGACCTCTGCACCCCAACAGGCGCAAACTATTGCAACCTCGGCGTCGCCACGTACGCACCCAACGGCCGGGTCCAGCTGCGCGAGACCTACGTCTACGATCGCTCCTGCAGGGGACTTGGGGCTCTGCCGCAGAGTCTTGATACGGGCCATTGGTCCCTGCATTCGTTGCTGCCGTGGACGGTGGAGGTTGATGTTAAGGGCGGGGGGAATAAGCCGGAGGGCGATGCTTGGTATGCCGGACGGAAAATCGATTTGGGGAAGAAGATGGCGTGTAAGGATTGTGCGGGAGGTTTGAAGGATTGGCAGTGTTGTAGGGTGGCGTTTGACTGTCGGTAGATTAGTGGGCTTGGGTTAGTGGGAATTGGCTGGAGAGAGGGATGAGGGTGTCTTTCGGGGTATATTGTTTTTGTCTTGTTTGCGGAAATTGATGGTTTTGGGTCAGTCATGAATCCGATAAGGAGAGTATGTTGTAGGAAGAGTGTGATTGTGTGTGTGTAGAAAAGGGGTTAATGGAAGTGGAGATTAATGGTCTCTTTTATAGGTAGTATGATTTTGGGACGGACGTATTGCTCCGTCTGCTGTCCGATATATCGTTTCTGGTCCTACAGTCAGCATTTTAACATATGATGTGGTCTATTTTAATTAGTACCGTAATGGCTAGCCTGATTGCAGATGACCACCTGCATCAGCCCATTCATACAATATAGAAAGCTTCGGCAGCTGAATGGCTCATGTCCTTGGATGAAGCACATGCTAGGCGACTATAACTACCGAGTTAAGGGTCCAGGATCCATCACATCAGCTCCACCCGACCAAAGCCCCCGCTTCCTATTTAAAGGCTAGGGAGGCACTGGTGTCATTGGAAACGTGTCAGGAAGAGTTCCCACCTTATCCCCATTTGCATCATCATGGCCATTGCGAGTTCCACCTCTGCCGCCCCAAAAGGCAACGCTTTCGTTGGAACCGAAGGGATTTATAACCTCCCGCACCACCAACGAGAGATCGACCGTCTCCAACGGCAGCACAACTTCATTCTGTCGTCCACAGGAGGTCTTCTCCTGAGCATGCCTGTGGAGACCAATGCTACACTGAGGATTCTGGACTCTGGTGCAGCGGATGGTAAGTGGAAAGGAGGGAGCCCTTCTACGGTCAAGATAACTGTCGTTGACTCATGATGCTGGAGTAGGAACCTGGCTTCATTCTGTAGCACAGCACTATCCCAATCAGAGATGGTCCCTTCATGGCATCGACATTGGCTCCGCGCTTTTCCCGCCTCCCTCTGCAGACGGTCCGATTGTGGATCTTCGGAAGCATGATATCCGGGAGCCAATTCCAAAGCATCTGCACCTACCAGAAAGCTTCGACATCGTTCATCAACGCTATCTTATATGGGGCCTGAAAAGCTCGGAATGGCCACAGGCCGTGGGAAACTTGCGTTCAGTGTTGAAGCCTGGAGGCTGGATTCAGCTCGTGGAAGCACAATGGATAGATCGTGACACACCATTTGACCCTGTTAAGTTCCCTACCCTTGCCAAGATGTCGGAGTTCGAAAAGTGGAGCACTGCTGCTTTTGGGATGAATGCTTATATTGCTTATGAACTGGAGGATTTGCTCAGTGACCTGGGATTCAGGAACATTAAGAAAACATCATTCGCTCTGGGGTATGGTGCCATGGCTAAAGAGGAGCAGTGGAAAGTGACCTCTCCTCATATATTGGTGGAAGGATTCCGCAGTCTCGGGCATAAAATGCCCCCTGGCGGTATCCCTGGGGTGGCAAGAACCCCGGCTGAGTACGATGCTTTCTTGGACGAATTGCGGGACGACGTGATCAAGTATGGATATGCGCCGCAGCTGAATATTGTCATTGGGCAGAAGCCCTCGGAACTGGCTTTAGCCTCACTCTGAGTGCACCGGCGCCGAGTTTGTCTGGACAAGGTACATGATGTGGTTCATGCGTTGAACCATATATTGTAATGTGATTATCCTCGAGTGTTTTTGTTGAAATGCTATGGCTGTACTGCGTATACCAAGCATGATAATCACCAGAGATGTAAAGTAGCCAGCGATGGCGCCAGCTTCATGGCGGGTAAGCATCAAGCTTATAACTGGGTGGGGTGAGGTTGGACGGTAGGGTGAGGAGCGAGCATGTGCAGGTGGTACGAGGGAGCTAGGGCCTCCAACCCCTTTACCATACTTCTGACCGGAAACTTATAGATCACGACCACAACGAGCACGAAAATAAAACCTATCGCGATCGGAAGAGGTCGTCTATGTGTTTTCCCCTGGCCCGGCCACGCAAGGGGGCGGGGTGTGGATCCACCTGAATCTGCGACCAGCTCCACTGGCTCAGGCAGACAAGGCTGCCTGGTTTGGTAGCCAAATCATACATGATATATGCACCCGAAGTCGTTCCGCAATAGCTAGGCTAGAGGCCCATGCTGTGTAGTGACCAGGCGCATTCTGTGTGAGATATGAATCACCGACATAAGGCACACCTTCACACGTCTGTGTCGGAGATCAACTATTGCCCGAGGGCGGTATAATACTGATTCCAATGGCAAGGCATTGTTCATTCGAGCACACTGAGCCTCACAAGTGTGATAAGGCTACTGGCATGCTTGCTGCATGCATAAGAGGCGAATAGCTTTGAGACCGCACCAATCATGCAGGTTATATGATGATGTTCCCAATGTATTTGCATATGTACCGTGAGGTGGCTGCTCACATCAAACTTCTCTCAAGGCTACAGCGTCACTGCCTGCCATTATTATTCGAGACTCTTCTATTTGCCTCTCAAAGAAAATAGCAATATAGACATGACTGAATGGCTCCCCATTCTATAAGTGTCTCCGACATCCTCGCCCGAAAGTAGGTTTGTTCATCAGGCCTTTTAAATTTTTCTTTACCTAAAAGAATTCATTTGCTGACGGCAAAATGGGAGAACAACCAGGTCTATCAGAGAAGGAAATTGACGCGGAGAATACCATTAAGGACTCGACCGTTACCACCATGAAAAAATGCGGTAACCAACAAAACGCTGAAGGAGACCAACAAAAGACGACGGGAGCGGACTCCAGCTCTGACGAATGGCAGCACCTTGATAATACTGTCCCAGACGAGGCATTTTCTTCGCTTGGTTGTCCTGTGAACAAAGACCTAGAGGACACTGTGCCAGATGACTCCCCGAAAAGCTTGGTGGAAGGAAATACCACTACGGGTAACACGCCAACATGCGGCGATACTGAAACCAAGAAGACGGGCGATACAACAAAGGAAGGAAGCCAACTAGGCGATGACGAAGCCTTTTTTTTCCATGTTGACGAGGGTGAGCCACCAGCCACAAGTTTTTCTAGCGAAAACAAAGACGTCGACAAGGGCAATTCAAGCCCCAATCACGAAGGACTTGACGAAGAGGTGAACTTACTTGATAGCGAAGAAAAGTGGACCAATGCAGAAGAAGACAGCGAAACTCACGAACCCGAAAACAACAACGTCGACGACAACCAAGTCGATGAAGAAATAGCCGAAGAGACGAACGATAACGGATTCCAACATAACAGTGAGGAGGAGAGTAGCGATATTCAAAATAACGGGAATAACGGTGAAGAAGACAATAGCCAGTGCGATGAAGATGACGAAGATACCAAATCTGTCTCTAGCACAGATAGCAACTACTTCCTCAAAACATGGAGGTATTTACCAGAAGACGAAGACATTGCTGCTGGGAATGAGATGGACCTGAAGTTTGATGACCAAGCCATTGAAGATCTTGAAGCCAACGTGGACGATATGGACGATGAATCACCCTCCCGCTTGGAATGGCTTAGACAGAAACGGCTGCTAGCTGGGCTGCAGCTATCCAAGAATGAACAGCGCCTTGAACGGTTGATGGATCGCGTCATGTGTCTAATTGGTCAGGAGAATGTCAAGGCTCAATTTTTGGCCCTCAAAGCCAGGATCGAAGCAGATAAATCGCGGGGCGAAGACTTCAAGAATGCCCATCATGACATTATAATTACTGGAAGCATAGGAGCCGGTCAGTGTATCTCCGGAATTGCGTGAATATTCACTGAGAAGCTCAGGGAAAACAATCGTGGCCAAGATCTATGCGGAGTTCCTTGCTTGTTTTGGTCTTGCGGCGAGGAGTATCAGCCATTATTCAGGGTACCACGTGGCATGCCAGAGATTCCACCGTTGGTACCCGTCAGAAGGAGTATGCTTAGTGTTCTCTTTTCTCGAAGTGTCTATATATATACTAAAAGATTTCAGGTCATATTCATTGACCGAGCCGACCAGCTTACAACACATCCAACAGTGACCGACGAGTTTCTCACTTTCATGCGAAACTATGATGGAGATATTGTGGTCATTCTGATCGGACCGCACAAAGGGTTCAGTGACACTGGAGCGTCTCGCCTCTTCTCCATGAAACTGGCTCTCGAGGACTATTCTGATGAAGAAATCCATCGCCTGTTGGTTCGTATACTGAAAAAGGCTAAGTTGCACGTTGAAGGGGGTTGGCATGGACCGTGCCTGAAAATCCTGACTCGTCGAATTTGTCGTACGCGATCAGGTAACGCCTTCAATAATATCCTTGCTTTGCACACTGTTCTGGAATTGGTGATGAATCGTCAAGCTTTGCGACTCCGCCAGTCATTAGGAGACACGGCAGCCAAGCGCACGAAGGAACCCAACTATAATTATCTGACAAAATTCGATCTTCTCGGACCAGAACCAGTGACCAAACTCAGAGAAAGCGAGGCCTGGAAGCAACTGCAAGACATGATCGGGTTCCAGGAGGTCAAAGAGATGGTCGATGAACTGGTGCATCAAGCAAACACCAATCATCACCGTGAGCTTCAAGGCCTACCTCCACTTAATATACCCTTGAACAAGGTGTTCTTAGGCCCTCCAGGCACTGGCAAAACCACAGTCGCCAAGCTATATGGGCAGATTATTGCCGAAATCGGTCTCCTCTCTGGTGATGAGGTTGTGGTGAAAGATCCATCTGATTTCATTGGGCAATATATCGGCAACTCGGAAGCAAACACCAAGGAAATACTCCGTGCTACTGAGGGCAAGGTTCTCATCATTGATGATGCGCATATGCTTTATCAGGGAACTGGGCATGGGGCTAATTGCTCGGATTCGTTCCGGCTCGCTGTTGTGGATACGCTAGTCACAAATACTTCGAATGAACCCGGCGATGACCGTTGTATTATCCTCATTGGTTATCCGGACCTGATGAAGGAGTTCTTCAACAACAGTAACCCGGGGTTACGACGTCGATTCCCATTAGAAGAGGCTTTTCACTTTCAAGACTACTCAGTCGATCAGCTTGCTATGATTCTTGACCTGAAAATGTCGCATGATGAATTAGAGGCTACCGATCAGGCCAGAGAAGTTGCCTTAGAACTTCTTGCGCGGGCTCGAGACCGGCCCAACTTCGGAGGTGGAGGTGATGTCGAAAATCTGCTTGGAAAAGCAGAAATGGCCTTTTATAAGAGAGTGAGGGGTGTTAAGAACCGAAAAGGAAAGAAGATCGAGGCCTCCGATTTTGACCCAGAGCATGATAGGGCCTTAAAGGGTAGCAAGGCATGTGATTCACTCCTCTCATCAATGATCGGCATGGACAGTATAATCTCCCTTTTCAGAAGCTATCAAAAGGTATCGTCCGGGATGCGATTGCAGGGGATTGATCCGCGTCCATATATTCCATTCGCATTTGTCTTCAAGGGGCCACCAGGGACCGGGAAATCTACTACAGCTCGCATTCTTGGTGATATATTCTACGAGATGGGATTCCTCTCCACCTCCGAAGTCATTGATTGCTCTGCGACAGATTTGATTGGCGAGTATGTAGGGCAAACAGGACCCAAGGTGATCAATCTTCTGGAGCGGGCTTTGGGAAAGGTACTATTTATCGACGAAGCTTATCGGCTAGCGGCAGTCCACTGGCAACTGCTCGAGCTTTGCTAACGAAGCTGTTGGAGAGTTGGTCGACTGTATGACAAAGCCACGCTACTCTCGCAAGCTCGTGATTGTCCTAGCTGGCTACTCGGATGATATGGATAGGCTACTTCATATGAATACGGGTTTACGGTCTCGGTTTCCGACCGACATTGTCTTTCCCTCGATGAGCCCAGCTCACTGCCTTGAATACCTTGAAGTGCAGCTAGGGAAGCTCCAGATAAGAGTGGATCGAAGCCGTACCATTAGTGAATGGGAAGATTCAACTGTTCGGGACCTGTTCGCCCAGTTGCAAAAGACAAGGTCTTGGGCAAATGCCCGGGGTGTTGAAACACTCGCCCGCAATATCGTTTTCGAGGTGTACAAGAGTCAACAGGGCACCAGTGACTCCGATCTCAGCGTTTCTATGGACGATATTATGAACTGTCTAGATGACATGCTAGACCAGCGCGACCAGTCTTCTGAATGAACGACCTCTGATGCGCGGGGTCGTCTGACGCTTAGCTCCCAGGTCCTTAAATGAAGTTGGTATTCAATTCTCGGTTGCTTTTGTTATTGATGCTTGGCAGCTTGCATTCATACAGCTCAGGTGCATTTAGACTTGTTTTAATCTGTTTGCTTCAACCTAAGCACTACTGTTGTTAGTACTCACTATATAGTGATTTGGCATTTCACTAAGCATTTCCTGCATGGTACCTTTTATGATTCATGACAGTGAACTATACTAAGATGAAAGAAATTGAGCTTCACGTTCTCCATTACTCATACGTATAAAGATGTTTGTATCCTCGCTTCTTGTTGAGAACAAAACAAAAAAGATAGTAAATAATACTTATCAGTTAGCACTCTCTTACCTTTTTATAATTTGAAAAAGAAGGATTGTCAGGATTGTCGAACTAAATATAAGTTTATTCTCCTAATGTTCATTCTCGGACACAATTTCCGCGCCGGAGCAAATCGCATATACTTAAAGTCGTATGTAGATACAGATAGCTATAAACTACACATGAAACTAGCCACAGCCCTATTGATAAGCCATACACAGATACTTAAGCACACATGTCAAAAGAAGACAAATAGATAGATCTTGAAATTCATATTTGGGGAAGATTCCGATCGGTTTGATGGGCCCGGATCTTGCCTCTTTTGAATGCAGGATCTGGTAATCTTTTCAACATCCGGACCTTGGTACGTGTCTACGCCTATAAAGGGTGTCTCCATTTTGTTTTATCGTTGATATAGAATATTCATCGCTCTTGTTATGATCTCTAACCTCGTTTCTATAATGGCATAATAGACTCGGTATTCCCTTCTCAAAGCATAGTACCTCTGACTTGGATTATGTATGAGCGCAACTGACATTTACTTAACACCGAAAGCTCACATTGAAGAATCCTCATTGAACAAAGACACAATATATCTATCAATATATCAAGCGCAGGATTTCTAGCCCTGTCGCCAAAAAATACCCTATACGTCGATAGAAGTTGGTAAACCACGATGGTAAAAGAGAGTCTGAACTACGACATCGGCCGAATCCACTACATCGGACCGGACAAGCATCCCGAATTTACCGTTTACAAAGGCAACAAATACTTCAGGATAACCATCGGCGATGCGAGAAAATACCCCCGGTTCTACAAGAAATACAAGACACGTCTCCGAAAATCAAACCACCCACCACACAGAAAGCTAAAGGACGCTAAGCACAGTGTCTACCGATGCATCCTGAAGTACTGCGGTTTGAATAAACTAGTCCCTCCATTTGACTATACCAAGATCCACACAGCCGAGGACTGCTTCAATGAGCTTGGAGTTGTTGAATGCCGTATAGACTGGACCAAGGAAGGTGGCTTCAGATTCAAGACGCCGGAACCCATCAGCAACGGGGTTGAATTCAAGGGCATAGCCATCCCGGATGCCGTGGCGGCTGGGTATCCACGGCTTCCTGCATATAATCTCAGAGATATCACAGTTAGTTTGGACCCTGATCCGAACTCCGTCTTCCCTAAGGAGGTGTCTCTGGTTGAACAACCTAATGAGGCCCTCTACTTTAAGAGGCTCACGGGAAGGGACAAGTCGGATTTGATCTGCTCTTATAATGAAATCGAGAGCTATACGAAGCTGTGGGACTCTGGGATTTACGACGAGCCCCTCTTTTTGGGGGCTCGAGTCGTTGGGGTGGCGCAGGACTGGAGCAAGAAGGTATTTGGTCTTCTTTTGTTGCACATTGAGGGTTCTACTCTCAGTGATGTGATGCGGGATGGACGACCGTTGCCGGATAAAGAACGCCGGGATAAATGGTATTGGCAGATACAGAATAGCTTGAAGATTCTTCATCGGAGGAACTTGCTTTGGGGAGATCCTAAGGCTGATAATGTGCTCATTGATGTGAATGATGATGCTTGGTTGATTGGGTTTGGGAAGACCTGTACGGCCCCGTGGGTGGATAGGTGGGCAAATGGTACGCTTGAAGGGGATAAACAGGGAGTTAAACGGTTGAAAAGGATGTTGCTTTGAGGGTTTACAGCGGAGAATTGGCTTTAGTGTAACTGAACAATACTGTTATGCACTGATTAACGAATTGCTTTGAAGGAGATAGTAATCAAGAATTATCCACCCACCAGTTGCCCCGCCGAGCCCCATCAATCCATAACCATTGGCAATGTGAGAAATTAGCTCAAAATAGCAAAATAGCAAGACCTTAAGATGGGTTTAAAGTGGGTCTGAGCATGATTGAGGGAATATAGCAGCGCTCTAACAAGATGGTACAGAAGAGGCATATTCAGGCAACAAGGCCATAATCAGGCAGCAGATACATTAATGACTAAGCACTCAAGGGCCCCTCCAATTTTACAATATTAATCTGAAACAATGTGAACTTCAAACATCATGGGCTTCGTTGCACTATAGACTGTATCATAACTACCCACAACAACCCGTCGTCCACTCTTCTGTCTGTTTCCCCGGCTCTATCTCCATTGCTTTCGTCGTATCCGTTGCCCTGGCCCCTGGCCGCGCTACCACGACACGGTACTCGCCCCGGTCGCAGAACACCTTCCCCAGAAACGCCCCCAGGAAGATGGAGATGATCATGTACCCATTGTAGTACATGGCAATCAGCATGATAATGTACGCGAGTCCAAACTGCAGCGTGTGCAGTAGCGCCCGCGCCAACTGCTGCCAGGGACTGGCTCGGAAGGTAAGCACCGTTGGCCCGTGCTCTAGGCTGTCACCGCAGAAAAACTGCATGCGGTCCGATGTTGTTTGCGCTGCAACGTAGCGCTGGAATTGTCGTTGGAGATGCTCCTCGTATTGCTTGCTTAGGAGGCGGAGGAAGTCGAGCAAAACGACGAGAAAGGCGACTGCAATGCATGAGACGGCGAATTGGCCCGCCGTGTTGATGTGCCAGGTGGAGGAGAGGAAACCTGCAGTTGTTAGGGCTGGATGGATGAGAGCTATACAGAGTACTAAGGATTCATACAGGCATCGATTGTGGTCCAATTCCATAACATCTGCCATGTTGATTAGTCATCAGATGTCAAGCAGAGGATGAGACGACGTACGGTTACCGAGCAGGCGCTCGAGTTGGAGCTGGACATATCCATGTGCATGTCCATGGTGGTGATGGTGATGGTGATGGTGTTGCAGTTCGGGAACCAATGGAGAGGGGAATGGCACGGTCTACTTATACGAAGCATGAATGAGCAGATTATCACGTACGATGCTTGGCGATGAGCAGATATCGGCCTTGGCGACTCCACCGCGATGACTCCACTCCCAATCCTGAGGATATAGAAATGGCCACTGCCACCGGCTCGAGCGCACCTGCAAATTTTATCCCATCTACACTTCCTCCACCATGGGACATATTCAGGACTTCTCCCAGGATTCCGCCCTGGAATACCACTGGGGATATGTTGCCCGCCAGGTCCCATGCACCAAAGATGCCGGTACCTGCGCCTATTTGGACGCGGTTTATCACGGCCACGATGTCAGCATGCTCTACAGCTTCATTCTGTGGGCGGTCATCGTGGGACTTTTGTTCCTGTGGGCGCTGGGGGGACGCCTCGTTCGGTTTGATCGATCTGTAGCCAGGACCTCGCCCAAGCCTGTCCGTCAGAGTGCTCCCTACCGTCTTTCGCGGACGATCCAGGCGCTTGTCCGGCGACATCTGCTCCCGGAAGCCTTGCCTTGGGTGTTTGGACATACCACACGTCTGCAAGTCCTTATATTCCTAATTATCTCCGGGTATCTGCTGGTCTTTACCCTAGTGGGCATCACCTACAAGACCTGGGTCACTCCCATTAGCGGCAGTTCGCTCAACAACACGCGCAGTGGATTGGGTCCGTGGGCAGACCGCATCGGTGTGCTGGCGTTCGCCCTCACGCCATTGTCCATTCTGCTCTCCAGCCGGGAATCATTGCTTTCGCTGATTACCGGCGTTCCATACCATCACTTCAACTTCCTCCACCGCTGGCTGGGATGGGTGATCTACATTCAGTCGGCCATGCACACCATCGGCTGGACCATCGTTGAGGGAAAGCTCTACCAGCCGCAGCCCGCGCAGTGGAACAGCTTCATCACGCAGCCCTACATCATCTGGGGCATCGTGGCCATGATCCTGCTCTCCTTCCTGGTCTTCCACAGCACTAAGCGCGGCATCCAGCTGACGGGCTACGAGTTCTTCCGCAAGGCCCACTACGTAGTCGCCATGGTCTATGTCGGGGCCTGCTGGGCGCATTGGTCACACCTGTACTGCTGGATGCTGGCCTCACTGGTAGTCTGGTTCCTGGACCGGGGGATCCGCCTCGTTCGCGTCTTCGTGCTGCATCATCTGAACGTCCCGACCACGACGTCGTCCACCACCGGAGGGTTGCACATCCCGCACGCCGCGATCCAGTTGCACCCCAACCCGGACGATGGCGACATCATCCGCCTTGACTTCCACCATAATCATGACCCCTGGCACATCGGCCAGCACTTCTTCCTCTGCTTCCCGCAGTTGAGTCTGTGGCAAGCTCATCCACTCACCCCCTGCAGCGTACCAGACACCTTACCCACCGGCCAGCCGCACACCTACATCATCCGCGCCCGGAAGGGACTGACGCGGGAACTCGCCCACCTCGCACGCATCTCGTCACAGACTTCTCAACCGAGTGACGGTGAGACCACCACGATGACGAGCGCCGGCCCCACAACCCCAGTGATTCTCTGTGGGCCTTACGGCCAGTCCATCATGGAGGAAACCACAACCGCTGGAAGCAGCAACCTCCTCTGCATTGCCGGCGGGACGGGCATCACCTTCGTGCTTCCCCCACTTCTCCATTCACTCAGCAACACATCCACTTCCAAGTCCCAACCGACGCAGATCCTCGAACTCATCTGGATCATCCGCCGCAAGGCCGACATGCAATGGATCGCCCCGGAGCTCGACATCCTGCAGCGCCTGGCATCCACCCACTCGAA